CCAAAATATATTTATAGAAAATTTCATAAATTTACCATGATATATTTTATTAAAATTTCTGAAAGTTTCAAAACTTTTCGAATTTTTAAATAGATTTTAGACTCAATTTTAAATTTTAAAATTAATTCTCTTTTTTTGCGAATAGATGCAGATTTAATGAAAAGTACTACCCAACATATATTTTTTCATTCCTATTTTAGTACGATTATATTTTTTTCAAATAAATAAAAAAACTACAAATTTTATTCTAAATTTTGAAAATAAAAATATATAATATAGATCAAACTTTTTTGTAAACATTATTTTTAGTTATATTTAAGGGAAAATTGTTTTTTAAATTAGGAAAACTTAGAGATCTAAATTGGTCCTAGTTTTTAAATTCGGCAAGTGTCAAATTTTTTTAAGAAATCTTTTCGGCATAGCCGATCTCAATTAAATTTTTATTTGTTCCAAAATAAAAAACCCAAAATAAAAATTACTTTTCGACATGCCAAGCCCGAATTCATTTTAATATATTTTTAAAATATTATCATTACACTTTTTTATATTTTTATACTCAATATATCGAGTTGATCATTCTACAGACAAATAAAATATATTAATGTTTTGTTTTTTGCAAAAATATAATATACTTATTATTATTTTAAATTTTAACCGGAAACTAGCCCTACCAGATGACAGAGCCCAGACCTATGTTTTTAAATAAACTGCCAGGCCCGAACCTATTTTTGTCAGATCTCTAAAAAAGCACATTCTAATTATTCTAAAATTCAATGTATATTTATTGTAAATCTGTTTAGTTTCAAATATGACGATTTGTGCAAAAGGTAAATAGGAATTAAATTATATCCAGAAAAAAGTCTAGAAGAATTATCCTCCAAAATGGCACTGGACAAAAATACCCGAACATACAATTATTATTTAAATTAATTTATTTAACAATCGTTTAAAATATTTGAAGTAATAAATTTACTATAATCTAATAGAAATTTTTCTAAACACTAAACTCTTTAAATATTTTTACATAATTAACCCTTTCGCATCTTTTTTTAAACTTGTTACGAGATATCCAAAACACTTCTAATCCTTAATTACCTGACTGAGATTGCTTAAACTTAAATTGGATTTACACCATTAAATAAAATAGCTTTTAGGCAATAAATATTGACATACCATAGGTATTATAAACATTAGAATAATGATTAATCGTTTATTAAATAAAATATTTATAAAATAATTAAATTTCCATAATTTATCTATAAATTTTATTTGAAACTGATTTAACTTTGAAAATTTGCATATTAAAAATTAGTGGCCGATGAATGATTTTATATTTCAGTATTTATTAAGTTTAACCATCAAATCTTATTAAACATTTTTTAGACATATGAATATATTATATCTCCATATCAGTGCAGGTACGCAACGGGAGGGAAATAATATTGAGATGCCGTGTGAATGTAAATTTATATTTTATAATAACTCCTACCTCTTTGGATAATATATTTAATTTACATTCATTTATTGAATTCACTGGAGAAAATTTCAAATTTTCTTTGGCATATTTTCCTACCATTTAAATATATTTCACTAATCATCTAAAACTTTTTCTCTACAAGGCTTTAAAATATTTCCCAACATTTATGGTAAAATTTAATTAAAGAATAGATATCAGTACCTTTTTTACAAATATTAATAAAAATCAGAATCCCAGTCCTCTTAACTGAAGTCCTAAATGGGCAGTGGACGACTTTTATAAAAATAAATCTGGCTGCTATATTTGAAAGCTGTGTTGCTCATTGAATGGTTTTAATTCAAGTTCTCATCATATTTTTTAGAAATCAATATTTATTTTGATTAAAGTTTTCATTTCATTATCCAGCATTTATGAATTCTGACAACATATAATAAACATAATTATCTGAAAATCTGTCTAACACGAAGAAAAAATTACAAAAAGCTTGTCTAGCAAGATACCTTCGCCTTCAAACAGAAATAGGGAGTTATAATACACTACAAACTTGCTGGAATAACACAAGCCTGAGACAAAATAGTAGGTCCAAATTTTTTATATTCGAATATATTAACAAGGCATATTTATTACACAAGTATTTTAAATAATTTTTAAAAAAAGTTACATCGATTTGAATTAGACTATAAGAATAGCTGAAAGCATTATAATGCAACTTAAAGAAATAGGGCAAATGTAGATGACGAATTTCATAAATTATATGTCTTGAGTATAAAAGGGACTCTAATTTATTATTTGTCACACTCGACTCGCAGCTAGGCAAGCCAAACCTATAAATATTATCAAAATATTTCCGAACTATTTCAAATCTTGATAGAGAAATTTGGCAGATTTTTATTTTGAGAATGTCCTAAGGCATTACTAGTTGAATGCTAACTATAGTCTTAAATAAGAAAATATTCTTCCATCGGTAGGAGTACTAATAATTAGATTAAATATATATTATAATATATATAAAGAAATAATCTAATATAATATTAAAATTATGTAATCATTGGAAAATTATCAACCATATTTATACCTGAGAAGAACTAACAAAATAGATTAAATGTCCTTCTTAATATACATCACACCAAGCACTGGTAAAATAATTGAAAAATATGTTTAATTATAAAGAAGATTGAATTTCTCAGTACAAATTTATATTATACTTTATAATTATATTTATATATATTTACATTTTTTGAATTATTTTATTTTCATGAACATACTTTGTAAGTAAATACACATGGAACGATACTCAAGAATATTTTTATGCATTATTCTATATTCTCAGCATCTTATTTTTTTCTAAATTATAATGCCTATTCTACTTATACATTTCAAAGCAAATATATTAGTTTAATATTTTATCCTTAATTCGTATTCTAATTTATGTATTTGAAATAGTCAATATTTAATAGTCACTAGTCCTTATATTTTAAATATTTGAATAACTATTAAAAAAATAATTAATGCCTTCCTGTTCCATAAAAAGTTTTTGGTATGTGCCAGAGTGCTGTATAATTTATCTCATAACTAAATAGTACTTCAGAAACCCGGTAGTAATTGAATACATATATACGAGTTGTTCAGATGTATTAACTGCCCTTTACCCATTCATCTTATGATGCTCTAAAATATTACTGGAAAATTATCTGTTTATTTTATAACTTAAAAATTTTATTATAACTTTTTTAATATATATTAACCCTACTCCCTTTCTACTGGAGTTACTTTCTCTCTACCTTAACCAAGCTTGTATTGACCATCAAAAATAGTATAGGTAATAAGACCATAAACCCTTTATTTGACATCTTTTCACCAAATGACACCCAATGCCATTAATATAATAAAAAATTTAATATAATTTATTTTATTATCTACCAAATGATAAAAAAATCCATTAAAAGTTATCTTTGCTCAAACGAATAAACGTCACTTGTTTAATAAGTAAAAGAGTAAAGAGTGTCCTTGGCCTAATATGTTTTGCGATGATTGATAAATTTAAAACTGTCACTTTTTTCAGACATTTAAAAATTATTAAATTTGTGTATTTTTGACCGGTGTCTTTTTTAATACTTATTATCCATTACCCTTCAATTTTTATTTATTTTATAATTTATAATAGATAACTTCACGTGTGAACATGGAAGTATTTCTTTTTATTTTTAGAATTTTGCATTATATAATGAATGATTATTCATTTATAGATGACGAAATTGGGAATATAGAAAAAGGTTATTTATTATTTCGAGTTATATATTTGAAAATCTGACCTATTTTTTTAAATTTAGTATAATTATCATATTACCGTTGACAAGCAACACTATTATAATGGGTTTTTATAAAATGTATTATAGTTCAGCTAAAAGAGAGTGAAACAAATAATGAGAACTTTATATAGCAATATCATATAAAAATTATTCATTTCTTATAGGTCACTAATATCAAATTCCATATTTTTTAAATATTTTAAGCTCAAAATTTGGATATTGGAATAAGTAATATAAAATAATATAATTTATATGATACAAAATTTAAATGAATATATTAGGTTATGGAAAAGAAATCATGACTCCTAAAAAAGGTAAGATAATTTTTGAAAAATTGATTTCATAAATATAGGACAAGAAAATAAACTATTTGAGGTTTCGAATAACTTAAAACTTGATAATATTAGTATTTCATTTATAATATTTATTACAATATTAACGAATTATTTTTATATAATAATACTCTAATTAGCTTTTTATTATTTTACTTTCAAAGTATATTTAGCAAATATCCGATTGCATTATTTATATTTAATATTTATTGTTGCAACATTAATAATTAATTGTATGCTATTATTATAGATATATATATTCATTTTATTAAAAATTTTAAAAGAAATCAGGGAGATTTTAAAAAAATATTAATGGAATTTAACTAAAAATATATTTAATTTCTGTTTTCCCATAAAAGAAATTATTTATCGAATTCATTCACTATTTAATCGATACATGGGGTGGGCAGCAAATCTGTAGCCTCGTAGGCAAATTTTTGTAATAAAATTATTTTATAAGGACTCCTACCTCACACTCTTATTTTACATGACTTAAACATGTCTGCCAATTTTTACTTCCACTAAAATATTATTTTACTTTATTATGTAAGCCTCAAGATTTGGTAAATAGAGGCACAAATATATCTGCCATCTATGAGAAAAATCTCCAGACTACATAATATTATTTTAGGTAAAACCCGATTGGGCTGTCTTTTAAGATCGGGATTTTTAACAACACTAAGCAGAATTTTATTTTATTTTATCCTATTTAATTTTTTTAAATTGTGAGTTTTTTATATTTATATTACTAAATATACTTAAAATTTTGAATAATTTTATAAGTTGTTTTATCATAATATTTATTTTCTAAATATTTTCTTGATAAATATAGCTATATTTAATATTTTAAAAATACCTATTTAGTCCCAAGAAGTGTGTCTACTTGTTTGAAAGGTTTTTGCAACTGTGAAATAAAAAGTATATTAAAAAATGTTTTTTTATACAAATATTGCATTATGGATATAATATTTAGGTAGAGATGGAAATATTAAAGTCACAACAGAAGGTAATTAATTATAAAAAATGGATTGTAAAATTAAGACCTATTTTGAAATAAATAATATTTTAAATATGTTGCAATCTAATCTAATTAATATTTATACCAATAAATAATAAAAATCTATATCATGAAAATCTAATTTAAAAAATTACATAGAACAATTAGATTACTCAGATCATACGGTGGAAGGTATATTAAATTCATAAATAGATTTTACTTTATATTTTATAAATCTTAAGATAAAAATTTTAAAATGGGAATAGGTAAATTTATGAAAGATATAACTTATTTTAATATATACTTCACATAATACTATGAGTCATATTAGAACGCTGGATTATTTATTTCGTTGTAATGTAAAAGTTTTCCCAACTCTTATTCGCCGAGAACTGTTAACTTAAGTAATTTTCACTAATCATCACGTATCTGAAATTTTTCTATAAGGAATCTCATACTTATGAGATCCGATTCTAATATTTAATCGAGGTGTAACTATAATATTTTTAAGCAGAAAATCTACATTTAAACTGTTTTTTTTTAAATAATTATAATAAAATAAATCAATATAAATAAAATATTTTTATGTTATTATAATAATTAAATTAATTAGATATGGGAAATGAAAACCTTACTCTCAACATAAGTAAAAAAGAACTTTTTTAAAAAAAATTTATAGCATAAATCTTTTTAGTACAAGATAAAAAGCCTAAAGGTAAGTAATTTGTGTGTGTATTTGCCTAGAATTAAAACAATTATTAATTAAATAAATAAAAATAATATAATGTTATGAATTGGGGGAAATTATTCATTTTATTTTAGAAAAATAAGTACTCAAATACTGATCTATCAACATAATAGGATATGGTATATCCCAGTATTGGAAAAGGGGAAGCCATGGTATTATGGTAAATACAAGTATAGTTCTTTAAATAAGTTTATTAAAAGATGTTGATGTAACCATCTCATCTATAGTAAATTGAATGTAAAAAAGACCAATAAAAATCCTATTAGTGACATGTATGAATAAAATAAAACAATTTTCTATCTAATTAAAAGTATTTATACATTTTTATGTTTTTCAAAAAAAATTTTTATATATAATTTTGTGTTACCCTGGTAAAAATTCCTCGAAAATTTATTTTTAAAGGAATCTTTCAAGCAAATATTTAAAGAAATTTGAAATTTAACTTTAAAAATCGCCTCTTATTCCAAACTCCTCTTCAAGAAATTGGTGCTTAGAAATTTAATCAGATGAAATTTAATATAATTATTTTTTAAAAGAATTAAGCAAATTTTGCCTAAAAAAATTTATTAATTCTATCTATTTTATTAATTTTAAAAGGCATTTAAATATATAAGCTTTTAACCATATTTTTAGCTCTATATATTAATATTTTGATTCTCCCTAATTTATAAAATATAGTTATGGAAACTACAGAGCCAAGTAAAGTATTTAACTTAAAGTATTTCATTGAAAAATTCAATTAAAACGGATATATTTTTGAAAATGTATTTTAATTATTATATTTTAATATGTAAAATAGAGGGCATGAAACAAATAATAGGTATATATTTTTATTTAAAAAACTGTATTATTTTCTTTCAATCCTATTTAATTCTTAATTCCAAATCTAATTGATAATTATCTCAAAATTTAAAATTAATAGTCATAAATAGAGGTCTGTATTAGGCGGGTTTTCGGCTTATCTCTTCATTCCCGCCCAGGGATAAGGCGAGTTAAAAATAATGTGTGGGCAGGTTAGAAAATTTTAAATTTTTGTTATTTAAAATAATTTAAATAAATATTAATAAAAATTGTTCGTATACTTTTTTGGATATTAAAAATAAAATTTCCTTTTATGATAATGTAATATAACTTTTTTTAAGATAAAGAAACTTTTTTGAATATTGTAAATTAGGGCAAAATGAATATTTCTGCATTGATTGTTTAGTAATGATTGATTATCTTTATGTTTGCCCTTTTCATTTTAAAAATTATTTTTACAAGTTAAAAGAAAATTATTCAGACAATAATAAACTCAAATCTTCAATGTGGAAACAATTTAAATTCATTTTCAATGAAAATGACTTTAAGCTAGACTGAATTCGCTTCAATGATGAATCCATCTATTAATATAATAACAAAAGTGGCACATACTTCTTCCTTCGGCATCTATGTTCATCTGCAAATTATGAAGATTTAATAGATAATAAAAAAATAACCGATATATCAATAAAGACAATTCTCAAATATTTTTACTAAAACTGATTACATATTTCTATCTATCCTTTTTATACAAAATTAGAAATTTAAAAAAAAAGATTTTTTATTTTACAATTTCAAGGTCAAAAAAATACGGAGAGAAATATTTATAAAGAATTATCTAAAAAAAATTTACAACTTAGTTTTCCCCGAGAATATTTTCTATACTCATCTTTGTAAAATACCATGTAGCAAATATTAAAAATTTGCTGGAAGGATAATTTTTTATTACAATAAAATTTATCTATTCGGTTGATATTAAAATAATTTTTGAAGATTCTGTGTACATTTAAATAAAAAACATTCATAATTAGATAACTAAATTTTTAGCTTATTTTTTCAAATATTAGATTTAATAGTCTAACAGTTCAGCACATATTTTGAACACAATACTTTGTTCATTCCAGCCAACTTATTTGATATCCTTCAGAGATTAATAATATTTTGGTAACTGAAAAATTGTTTACCAATTATTTAAACAAAGTAGCAACGAAAAATATCTGAGAAGACATTACAACAAAATATTGATATAGGATAAAATACAATTTGTTTTTAAGACTGAATAGGATATATGGAATAGGAAAGTTTAAAACACTGATATATTTTTGAAGCCATATTCAAATAGTGCTTTTGGGAAGATCGCACTGGTTTTTATTTGGTAATAAAATTAATATTTTAATGATTTATGATATTTCTATTATATATAAAGAAAATTAGATACAATCATCTTCTAGAGTTTAATCAAATAAATGAATATAATGGAGAGAGAAACAAACAAAGATAAAAAAATAGATTTAATAATGAAAAGAGCTAAAAATTTTATAATTGAAAATTTTGAAATCCATATATACTATAAAATTTAGCATTTTAAATTTATTATTATTGGTTTCACTTTTATTTAAATATCTCATTTGAAGAAGAGGATGTACTTCAAACGGATATATTACTTTGTTAGAATCTACAAGGAAATGATTTACCAAAACCATCAAGATTAGCAAGATAAATCTTGGCATTTCATGTTAGTGTTGTTAAACTGCTCGATTTAAGCCGATTTTTAAAAATGGCTGACTCAATATTTTAGCCAGAAAATTTTGTTCCACATATGAGAAAAATTTTAAGGCTTGCATAAAATTTTTCCTAATAAAATATTGAGTTAGCCGTTTAACAACACTATTTCCTCTAACTAGTTTTTCTTCTTAACTAGGATTAATGATTGCTGAAGGTCTTTAGAACAAAGTAAAACGTTGAATTCAGAAAACGTCGATTCATTATTATTTTTGCATAAAAATTACATATAATATCAATTTTATGTTTATATTTTTTTCATAAATATTTTATTTATTTTTTTTAATATTTATATTTTATTTTTATTATATAAAATAACAATTTTCACAAAATTTTTCATTTACGAATTATAATTAAAAATATATATAAAAATAGAATTAAAATATGTGTATAAAAGGGAAATGGGAAAAAATAATTTTTAAAATGTTAAAAAAAAAGGTATAAATAGAGAAGAGTGAATGCTTAAAAAATTGGAAAGGTAAAATCCTTCATTGGGGTCTCATGAGATTTGCTTCATTTTTTTGATGAAATTGAGAGCATCACTTCCGAACATGACTAGGGTATTGGTAACGATTGGGATAAACAGGGTATTAGTGAGGCAAGCATATTTGTTTTTTTAGGATTTCGGACTTTTCGATGGCACAAAATAAGAGGTTGGACAGAGGCTCGCTAGTTCAAGGGTGGGTGGGATATTAACTTTTTTAAGAGCAGCAAAGAGGATGTAGTTAATAGATTTATGGCGCGGTTTTCGTCCATGGGAGAACTTGCAGTGCAAGGAATGGTAAGCTTTCGATTCAATGGGATGGCCACAGTCGATGCAAATGGAGGGAACTACGGGTAGGGCTATGGAAATACATGGCTGTTCTCCAGACAAGATGAGGCCTAGGTTGGAACTGGGGATGCCTTCGAGCCATTCGTAACCTGAGCTTGCATATAATACTAAATTATTGGGATTGTCCTCAAAGGGCCTGTTCGAAATAAGGTATTCAACGGAACGGGCGATCAGAGGAGCATCCCTGTCTTTCTGAATGTTGGAAGCCGAACAACAAAGGGTGGGTGAGAAGTTTCTGTCCCAGATGGTGAAGTACTGTAAGAGGTCAGTGTCTGAAGGAGTGGATCTATTATCGATGATAGATTGTGCAGCGTGAGAGGGAAAGTTGTAACGGGGATCGGATATCAATTCCACCAGATTTTCTGGGAAGAGTAGCCTGAAGTCAGGATGAATTGGAAAATTAAAGGTTTAATATTTCAAGGAGACCCTTAATTTGGGTTTCATGAAAAACGAGCAAGTCACGGCATTTAAAGATCGGAGAGGATCTCAGGGCGTAAAAAATTTTAGGTATGTTGAAATAATTTCTTATTAAAAAAAATTGATGGGCTGGGAGGTAATTAAATAAGTATTTAATTTGGATAAATTATTAAGGGATTTGTTTAAAAATGTCTCAATGGCTTTTTCACTTCCTATGTGTGATCCAAGGTGAGTCATCTCGTCTATGTTGATGACGTGATATGCCATGTCTGGTAGAAGTGGGATTTAGGAAACAAATCTCACATTTGGGGAGGTTAAGACATAGTCCTGTTATATGAGAGAGATTCTCAATAATAAGGGGAATGGACATGATTAAGGAAAGGTTGCCCGAGACAATGCCGTCATCAAAATACCATGAATTTAAGGTAATAGATTTAGAATGAATTTCCTGGATTATCTTGTGGATTCCGATGCAAAAGAGGGCTGGGCTTAAGGGGTCTGCTGAATTCCCTACTGAGATACGATTATGTTATTATTGTATTTTAAAAAAGAATGGCTAGAATAGCTGTGGAGGAGGTAAGTAGAGTATTCGGGGTATTGGTTGCAAAATAGGAACGAAGTGTTGGTGTTTTGTATTAAATGCATTGTTGAAATCCTGTTTAAGGACCACGTCATCAGGTATACAGTTAGCTATAGTTAAACGAGTAAGGTGAGCGGAAATTTCAGAGCCTTCAGAAACACCAAACCCAAGTTGAAGTGGTGACAAGAATGAAGAAAGGGATTCCTTTATTCGTGAAGCAATGAACTTAGAGACAGTCCTTCGGAAGAACGACCCGACAGATATTTGGCGAATACCTCCATCCTTTTTTTTAGGGCTATAAGGCGGGCACCAAATAGGAATGATAGGTGATGGGAGGGATCCATTAAGAATTATATTTAGTAACCTGTTAAGGTTCTGTAAAAAAGCTCTACAAGAAATGTTGGGTAAAATGTTTTGTATGAAGATAGCACGAATGCCATCAAGACCTCCGGAATTAAAAGATCTAACGGCTTTGATTGTCTTATCTATACTGATTAAGGGGGCTATATGATGGATTGAGAAGGCAAATTCATAATCACATACAGGGTGTTTTAGAAACAAAGCTTCTAAGGTAGTCTCATTGTTAGGAGCTAAGGAGTCTTCAGGAATTATAGTCCGGAGGGCTGAGTTTATATTAAGGCTGTTCATTTTGTTTGAAACTATTTTAGCCCTAAGGGCACTGGAGATTGGATGGATGAGTGCGGGGTGTAGTGGTTTGTTTGGAATCCGGGTTGAATATATTGGTGTTAATATGCTTGGATATTTTTTTATGTTTAATATAGTATAATTTCCAAAAATTTTAAAACTTTTTTGTAGAAGAGTAATGCTGAAACGAAATTAATTTTTTTATTAGATACGTAAAAAATTAAAAGAAGGCCATAATTAAATTTAAAAATGGCAATTTTAGGTTAAATTTTTTTTATAAATAATTGGCAAGCGGATAAGGAATTTCAGACTAATTGTAGGGCGATTATTTTTTTGAAAATTGTGGGAATAGGGCTAGCTGGTTTTTTTAATGACTGATTTATGAGTATATAAATATACTAAATATATTTATCATATCTAGATCGTATTAACGGGACTCTTATAATATCTATAGGTAATCATGAGACGATGAGTTTAAATATATTCATACAATTATATATTGATATTAATACAATTCAAACCATTTAAATGAAGCATTATGAAAATTTTTTCAATTTTCTACACAATTATGCAATAATTTTAATTTATTTACGATTTATATTTTTAATTATCTCTTAATATATATGTTACCTTTATAATTTATCTTATTTCTTTCTTTCTTTCTATTTTAAATTATATTTTTAATTTCCATTTCTATATGTTCTCACAAAATAAGGTTTGATTTATATAAAAATATTTTTTCTATCAATTTATTTATTATATAAGAATTACATTGGTTCTATTGGCTTAATCATAAACCCATTTTTCTAATTATATTTCTAGCTAGATCTATTTTACGAAAATATTTAATATTTTTCAAACAATATATTCAAAATAATGCATTTATTTGGCATTTAAGAATAGTTGACCGGTTAGCATTTTAACAAACCGTGTTTTTTAATATGCATAATTATTTTTAGGCTAATTTGCCCTTGATTAAAAAAATTATCACACTTAAACTCATGATTTTATTAGTAAAAAAAATACGAAATATTATTCTTTTAGGAATGACTGAAATATATCGTGTGAAAGGTATATAATACAATTAATGTCATAAATAATTTAATAATTTATTTAGTTTCCCGTTTCATCAAAATTATCTCTAAAAAAGGTTCAAAAAAATATAAAACAGATTATCATATAAAACTTTAAATTATTTTAGACGCTAGACCTTATCTTCTACTACATAATAATAGTATGCAGATAATATAATTTTTAATCAATTTGAGTTAAATGTTTTAATATTAGTTTAAATAAATTTTTAATTCTGTTTTCTGATCACTTTAATTACATCTTATAGGATATATTAAAAAATTGAATATTGATAATTTAAATTTAAAAATATTCATATGTAAAACTTGTCTCATAATGCAAAACATTATTAAGTTTTATTCAAAATGAGTCGAAATATTAAAAAATAAATCGGCAAACTTTTAAAATTTTTTTAAAACAAGAAATATGCTTTTTCAAATATAAAAATAAAAACATATTAAATATTTGTAGAAAATTTCATAAATTTACAATGAGATAAGTTTTCATTAAAATTTCAAAACTTTTCGAATTTTAAACTTTGATTTTAGACTCAAAATTAAATTTCTAAAAATTAAATTATCTTTTTCTTGTGAATAGATACTGATTTTATGAAAGGTATCACAACATTCATTTTTATATCTATTTTGGTATGATACATTTTTATTTTCAAATTAATAAAAATGGCAAATTTGAAATAAAAAACAATATAAAAATACTACAAATTATTTTATTAATTTTGAAAATTAAAAAAGAAGCATTATTTGTTAATTTTATTTAAGGAAATTTATATAGTTTTTTAAAAAAAGAAAAAGATTAGTGATCTAAATCAGTCTTAATTTTAGTCCGGCTCGGCTCAAAATTTTTTTAAAAAAAATTTTTTAACGCGTCCTCTCAAACAAATTTTTATTTTATTTGTCCCAAAAATTTATTTAAATATATTTTAAAAAATTTAAATACACTTTTATAATTTTACCTGGACATAATCGAGTTTTTAATCATTCTAACAAAAAATTTCCAAATTAGGCAAAAATTTTAAAATATATAAATTTTATTTTAAAATATAATCTCAGACCCACCTAGCTGATATCTTAAAAAATATTAGAACTGAGCCCGGACCTATTTTTTAAAAAATATTAGAACCAAGCATGTTGTTCTTTAAATAGGACCAACTCAGCCCTGGTCTACTTTTTTAATTTGTAGATCTTTAAAAAAAAGATATTATTGACATTCTAATCAATCTCAAATTCAATGTTTATTTTTAACCTGTTTAGTTTCAAAAATGACGATTTGTGAAATAGGTAAATAGAATGTAATTCAAATTTGGGCATAAAGTGCCGAAGAAAAGTTCCTACAAAATAGCACTGGACAAAAATGCCCGACCTTAAAATTATTATTTAAATTTATTTTACAATTGTTTAAAATATTCAAAGTGATAAATTTATCATAATAATCTTATAACAATTTTTCTAAATACTCAACCCTCATAGCATATGAAAAATGTTTTTGATATTTAATAATTTTCTACCCTTACCTTTATACTATCAAATTTTGTTAAACCATTTTTAAATACTATCAAATTTTGTTAAACCATTTTTAATTACTCTCAAATTTTGTTAAATCATTTTTAATTTTGTTAAACCATTTTTAAATACTATCAAATTTTTTTAAACCATTTTTAATTACTCTCAAATTTTGTTAAATCATTTTTAATCTCTATATATAATAATGACCCGCCAGATGCCATTAATATAATAAATTATATATTTAATTTATCTAATTATTTTCCAATAACAAAAAAAAATTCATTTAAATAGGTTTTGTATTTCCAAATGATGAATAATTTTATTGCATCATGTCACTGGTTTAATAAGTTAGAAAGTGCCTTGACCTAATATATTTAGCGTTGATTGATAAAACCAATGTATGGAAGAAATTTATGTTAAAATAATTCTTAAACTTTCATCTTTTTCTAACATTAAAATGATAAAATTTGGTGTATTTTTGACTGGTATCTTTTTGTGGTACTTATATGATCCATTACACTTCTATTTTTATTTTTATAATCTAAAAGTTTTATTATATATTAATTTCAGGAAATTTCACATGTGAACATAGAAGTATTTTTTTTTTTGGAATTTTGCATTATATAATGGATATATTCAGTAATAGATGACGAATTTGTGAACCTTACAGGTTATTAATTATTTATTGAATTAACTTGAAAATCTGACATATTTTCTTTTAATATAATAACGATTTATCATGTTGCCGTTATTAACCTACAAAATTTATAATGTTTTATTATAAAATGTTATATAGTCCAGCTAAATAAAAATGAAAGAGATGGTAAGAATTTTAATTATAAGAATAACATATAATATTCATTCTTATAGTTCACATATATTATACAGACCATAACATAATAAGTAAATAAATTATTATCTAAGATATAATTTTATTTAATATTTCATATATTTTTAAATATTTTAAGTTCAAAATTTGGAAATGGGAATAAGTAATTTAAGAAAATATAACATATATGATAAAAAATTTAATTGATTACATAAGATGTAGGAAATGAAATCATGACTCTTAATATAGGTAAAATAATTTCTGGAAAATTAATTTTATAGAACAAATATTAATTTAGAGCAAAAAAATAAACCATTAGGTAAAATTTATTTTTGATTGCTTTTTATAGGTTTAGAATAATTTATAATATATTATTTCAATTGGAAGATTTGTAATAATTACAAAATTAACCAATTATTCTTATATTAAATTTTTGCATATACATTAATTTCTTGTATGTTATTATTATAGATATCAATTTTATTTATTGAAAATTATAAAAGAAATCATGTGGTAAAGGGATTTGAAATTCATGGTCTCGGAAGCTCTCAATTAAATTAATTTATTTTTAAATATAAAATAAGGACTGGAGTTTGAAAATATATTTTTATATATGAAGATTATCCATATTATTAATTTCTGTTTTGTCCTGCAAACATTCCAAAGCTCATAATTTGTCGATTTCATTCACTATTTTATGGACACATGGAAGGGCAGAGAGTCTTCTACCTCGTGAAATTTTTCATATGGAAATATTTTATTGGGGCTAGACCCTTCACATCTCCACACATCTTATTCTACATGACTTCTAACACTTCTCCAATTTTTATGTCCATTGAAGTTTTATCCCCATATCCATTTTTATTCTCAAATATTTATCCTTCACTTGGAAGCAAGCGTTCTTCCGCAAAGAATTATTTATCTTTAACCGCGTGAATTTAAAAGTATTAAATTATCTTATATTGCAGTTTAGACCTCTGAAGCAAAAATGCCTCAAGCAGCTCAATCCCAATTATATAAAAGAGAGAGACTTTTTTATTCCTATGAATGCCTACATATGAAAACTGTTTAATGGAAATTTCCTTGGCTCACTTTACTTAAATCCCACACACAGTCCACGAAACAAAATTGTATTTTGTTATTTTGATTAAAGATAAAAAATTGTTGTAAAATTTAAATTATCTTTTGATCTTTTAATCGTTGATTGACATATAACCCTTACTCCCAATTGTTAAATCAAAATAATATTTATTTTATATCTCAAACACTACAGTTAGTTGGAAACAATATTTTTTCTATCTAGGTCACTTGCTTCTTAAAAAAGAGCTTAGAATCGTTATTGGCCTTCGACTGTGATGTGATCGAAACACCAATATTTGCTCTCATTAAAATTGACAACCTCGGCAACCGCTTATACATTTTGGCTTTTCAAAAGACGGTCTAAGGCATCACATCAATACAAATCTCTCATCCCCTTATTCAAATAAGGCCCATTGTGTTTAAACTAATTCATTGGACAGTTACACCACTTGCTTTGGTATATTTGTTTAGATCGTTTTGTCTATACAGGTGAATAATAATTCATAAACAAATAAATATAAGCACTTACACATTGTTATTCATTTCGATTGTTTGAGATAACTATGATTAAACTTCAAGCCCTAAAAATATTGAAGAGAGGGTACTACGGTTAAATTTATTTAACAAGATTTGCTAATCTTACTATATTCATTTATAAGATTCATAAATTCTTTGATCTAATTTAAATATTTTTTGTTTAAATAATATTTTATTTTTTATAAATTTTGGAAAGTTATTATATATTTTTTAATAGATTACTATATTTTTTATTATTACCACATTACGCATTTATTGATTTTATATTAAATAAATAAAAATTTACTCCCTATCTCCAAAATAAATATTAAAAAAATAATAATGATTTGAATTTACTTGGATGAATTTGAATTTGCTAGAATTGAGCGAGATTCCGATAGCTGTGCCCATTTCGTGAACTAACTGCTTTGTTAAATTTACAACAAGATTCAAGATTCCATTATTGATTTAGCAAACATGAGGTGATAGAGTACGTGAAAAGTTTATGTCATTGATTCCAAGACTAAAAAGTAAGGGTTCGAGGGGATTACCCTGTTTAATGCCTTCGACTAAAAGTATTTCCATGTTGAATTGTAAGATTTCTTGAAATCTATAGCAGGGGAAAAGGAATTTGGTTTAAGCAGGGAATAGGAGCAAGTAGAATGTAGGAAGGTGTTGCGGGAAATAGTGTTCTATGCGTTGTAAAAGTCGGTTTTTCTAAAACTTTATTTGTAGGGTTATTTTTGAGATAAATTATTGTTAAGTTTATGGCCACCTCACACCCACCAGGTACGCCTACACTCAATTATTTGTTAATTTTATTTTATAAACTATTACTTTCTATTTTATTAATATATACAATATTTTTCACAACAAAACAAATATTAATAGTGATAAATAATCATATTCCTCTTATAAATCTGATTTTGCTTTTCTTAAGAGGCAGGAATTTTTAAAAGTTAAATGCTAGAAAACTATATACTGGGAAATATTTAAGTCCCGATATTTTTAATAGTAAAAATATAAAAGCCTGGAACATGAAATAAATATTTCACTTTTATTACTTATTTTATAAAATCGTTTATATTTTATCAAAAGATAAATTTAGACACAGTGTTATTCGAAGTAAATTAATTAAATGATTAAGTATTTATGACTTACATCTTCAAAAAAAAAATCAAAAAAAAGGTTCAGGAGTAATTGTTCTAGGTATATATTTTTATGTTCGATTTAATTTTTCATTTAAAAAAATAATCTTTATTTAAACTCTAATTAATTTTTGAAATGTGTTTTATGCAGAGCGTATAAATGGCACCCTCTCAATATATTTAGGTAATCATGATTTAATTAATATAAATATATTTTTTAGAAATTTCTAAATCCTATTACTATATTAATATGACATCAATTTTACTCTAACTCTATTTAGCTGAGAAAGTTTTCTGATAACTTTTCTCTATTGACTATAATTACTGATCGCATATTATACACGTTTAATTTCAAAATTTATTTAAACCAACAAAATACATTATAAGATTAAATAAAAAAAATGTTAATTTTCTTATTTTTCTGGGTTTTGGAGATTCACCAATTGTTGAAATAAGTTTTTAAAAAGAATTTAGTAAAGAATGAGGCTTCTGTCAAAACTATTTAGTAAATGTTGAGAAAAATAGTTATGTATCCCACATACTTTTTTGATATATAATATCAAAATTATAATAATCTTTTACTTATCATTTTAGGAAAAAAAGAAATATTCCGCGGACATGGTATATAAAATAATTCTAAAATATCATGCTTAATAATTTTAATAATATTATAGCTTCCCCTAATGTCGACATTATGACTACAATAGGTAAAAAAATAAATTTGCGAATAGCCAATTACTCTTATATTTTTAAAAAATTTTTTAGGGACACCGTACTTTATAGAGCATAATGGTTTCAATATTTATATATAAATTTTTCAATATTAACAATGACATATAATAGCAGGCTAATACGCAGAAATCTTAATGTGTGTGGGTATGGGGGGGGGGATAATAATTTTAATAAATTTAGGTTATTTAAGGATAACTTTAGCCTTAGATATTTATTAAAATTAGTGAATAGTCTTGTTGAACGGTTCAATTTGAACTAATTTTTATAGGCGGTTAACCCGATATTATTTTCCAAAAAAATATTAAGCCCAATATTTTGCTCATAAATGGCACAAAGTTTTGGGTATTTATTAGATAAATCTTGAAGCTAAGGAAATATTTCCTGACTTTTAAAAATGGGATCAAATCGACCCATTTAACAACACTACTTCTCAGGTATGTTTTTGTCCTTGTTAAAGAAATAAATGTTCTTTCATAAAATATTTTATAATTTTTATATATTAGAATAGTCTAAAATGTGTTTGAAATTATTAGCATTTTTTGGAACATAGCCAACCATATTTCACCTTTTTTATACCAAGGTTTGCATTAATAGCCAAGGAAATGAAATCAATATTAATTCATAGAATAAATTAATAGTATATTTATATCATCTGTAAATATGATAAATATATATATAAATTGGAATATATATTCAATGGGGGTGGGAAGGGGGAAGATTTGTCCCTCCACCCCCGCTGCCTATGCGCCTGAATAATAGAATAGGAAAAGAAATTCATAATATTTAAAAAAGTTATAAATTTTAGCTTTATTTAATTATAAACCACGCATAGCAATAGGTCTCCGTCTTGGTTGTAATATACTGGCCAACTCCACATGTACATTATGTTCCCAACCCGTTGATTGTTTTGGACATCATCCTCTTCATTGTCGATTCTCTAAAGGTAGACATTCTCGACACAGTGCAGTTAACAGCACCATACTCCGTGCTCTACGCTCAGCCCAAATTCCAGCAACCCTCGAACCCACTGGCCTCTCAACCGAGAATAATATACGGCCAGATGGGCTGACATTAATACCATGGAGTAATGGAATTCCATTAGCATGGGATTATACCTGCATCGACCGATTTGCTCCCTCCTTTAATAAGAACTCATTCATGCGAGCTGAAAACTCGAAAATTAATAAATATACTTCCCTAACCAATTGCAATCTAATGCCAATCGTATCCGACACAACCGGTTCTTTTGGCTATCATGCCATAACCTTCTTTAAATCTCTCGGTAAAAAATCCGCGCCATCACTGGTGACCCACAAGAAGGCTTCTATCTCAGACAGCGTATATCTATTGATATATGCAGATCTAACTGCATTGCCATCCATGGCTCTCTTTCTTGATCTCCTCCCACCACATACAATTTACTATACTAATTATTATATTTATTTATTTTTTTATTATACAGTTTTTTATATATATTTTATATAAATAGTTTACATGACATTTTTAATATATAATTTTTTTAAATTACGTATATATGTTTTACTTTTAACGTTCAATGTATTAAATATTATTTTAAAAACTTAT